AAGACGGCCTCCTGAGTGCAAATGCGTCAGAATCGACACTCCATCAGAACTGCACACAAACAGACTAGACCGTGAAAGAAACAACCACGCCCAGCCCAGTAACTCAGCAAACCCTCAAAATTAACACAGGAGAAGGTAAAGAACCACGAGTAAGCCAACAAAACAAAACATCACCTAACACAGTCATAGGAAACAGAAAATCCTTTTTGTAAATAACAGTAAATGTCCTCAACTTACCACAAAGGTTATAGGCTAATGGGCTGCATGAAAAGCCAAGAACCAACTATATGTGGTCTCCAAGAAACACACTTAAAAAAAAAATAAGACACCAAAAACTTAGTATCCAAGGACGGAAAACATAAAAAGCAGGCATAGCTGTCCTTGTATCAAAGTAAACTTCAAACCTAAACTAAGTAGAAATAGACAAAAAGGGACAGCACACGTTAATCACAGGGACAATTCATCAAGAAGATATAACATTTGTAACTTCTATGCACCAAATATTGGGGCCTTTTACACACCTAAGTCCTGATGGAATACTAGTGGGGGCTTCAGTATTCCAGTCTTATATTTAGTTAGATCTTTTAAACTAAAAACAAAGAAACTTCAGAGCTAACATAGACCACGAGTGAACTGGACTAATATTGATTTGATATATGTTTGCACCAGCAGAGAGGAAATAGAACTTTTCATAGCAGCACATGCAACCTTCTCTAACATGGACTACATCACAAGACAGAAATTAAGTCTCAACACATACAAAAAGTTGAGATAAATCTTTGTCTCCAATCAGACCATAATGCAAGAAAACCAGAAATCAACAATAAGACAAACCAGAAAAAGACTTGGAGACTGAACAATACATTTTTGAATGGTGGCTTACCTAAGACACCAGAGAAGACCTAAAAGTCTCTTAGAGGAAGATGGAGATGAAAACATGTTCTCTTAGAATCTCTGGCATGCAGCCAAGGTAGTCCTATGAGGAAAGGTTATAGAAGGAAGGGTCTGTGTTTTAAAATCTGAGAGATAACATATCAATAACCCAGCAATACATCCCAAGGCTCCTGAAAACAAAACAGTCAAGCCAAACCACAGTAGACAACAAGAAACAATAAAGATTAATGGAGAAATGAATGAAACAGACACTAAAAGAACAATATACAGCACCAATTAAATCAGAGTTGGTTCTTTGAAAAGGCTGGTAAGATTGACAAGTCCTTAGCTAATCTGACCAAAAGAAAGAGGGAGAAGTTAAAAATGAATAAAAGTGGAGATCAAAGATTATTGAAACTGACTCCAGTGAATTCAGAATATCATTAGAAAGTACTATGAAACATATTCTGAAAAGCTGGATGTCCCAGAGGAACAAGAAGAATTTATTTCTTTTTTATATCACAAATGGAACTAGCTTATTTTCATACATACACATCGATTTAATGAACATTATAGCCCAAAGTGGAGGGGATCCTGACAAACGCTCCTTACACAAAATCCTAGGAGGGCTCTTCAAGAGACGCACACCTCTTCATAAACGGAATCACTTTATATCTATTATCCTGTGCTTTCACATCACGGTGTCCAAGCCATAAAGCATCGTACAATACTGGTGCCCAACAGCCTGGTGCCACAAGGTGCTGGGCACGGGTGTGATTTCTAGCACCTGCCCAGGGGAGGCTGCCCTGGGCAGGCATGTGGGTCTCTTTTTCCTGTTCGACCCTAATGTCTGAAGTAGAAGAATTTCTAAATACATATCGTGTACCAAAACTAAATCCTGAAGATGTAAGTAACTTAAACCAATTATAAGAAATGAGATTGAAGCCGTTATTAAAGTCTCCATTCAAAGAAAGGCTGTAGCATCATTCACTGCTGAATGCCAGCCAACTTTCACAGAAGTTCTCATACAAATTCTTCTTTATTTTTGCACTAGATATAAGTGAAGGAACACTACCGAATTCATTCTACAAAGTCAATATTAGCCTGATACCCAAATCAGTTAAAGATACTACCAAAAAAGGTACAAACCAATTTCTTTCATAAATATATAAGTAACATCAAGGACACAATTACTTCAATTGATCTGAAAGGCATTTAGCAAAGTTCAACATACCTTCAAGATAAAAGCTCCAGAAACTTTAGGAATATTTTGAACACACCTCAGAAGAATAAAGCTATCCACAACAAACCTATAGCCAACATTATATTAAGGGGAGGCCAACTGAGAACATTTCCTCTAAAACCAAGAACAAGATAAGGATGTCAACTCTACTCTCTGTCATTCAATACCTCTCTTAAATCTTAGTTATTGGAAAAACACTTAAAAGAGACAACAATAAGAAGGGAAGACATCAACGGTCCCTATTTGCAGATGTACCAAGTCTAGAAAACTCATGGATCTAAAGAACACAATGAACTTATAGGATATGTGTGTGTGTGCATGTGTGTGTATACACCTTCCCTATACACACACAAGAGAGGATGTGGAGAGAAATGAACCCTTATTCACTGTTGGTGGTGTTATAAATTAATACAGATATTGTAGAAACCAATTAGAGATTTTTCAAAAATAAAAAAAATAGAGTTACTCTGTAGCCAAGCTATATTGCCTCTGGGTTTATACTTAGACAATTCCATACCATATCATAAGGATACCTGCACCCCGGTACCTATTGGAAAGAGGGCATGGGAGGAGAGCCGTACAGGCTGGCATGTAGATGTTGCTCTAGAGGCCACAGGTCCCTTCCCTTTGCTCTGCTCCTCTCTCTGGGTTCTTGCACACCCAGAAACCTGGAGAAAGTCCATATGGAAAGACAAGCAAGCAGATAAGATACCTCACAGTAGACTAAAAAAGGAGGTCACACGCCAAGAGGAGGGAGAGGCCTGAGTTTTACATGATGCAACAGATGGAGTTCCCACATTGCCACACAGGGAAGGCTCCATGCCATCCTTTATTGCTCCTGGGCGAAGCTGTTCTTCACAGCACTGTTCCAGAATTTTTGCAATCCCGCCTCTGCTGAGCTGATGTCCTCCCTCCCAGTTTTCCCAGAGTCAGGCTATATGGTGACAAGAACTAATTATAAAGGAGGGTCTCCTGACTCTGGTCCCAGCCCTCCTCTCTCAGCAATAATGCAAGCATGAATAGGCCCTGACCCTATTCTAGGCCTCGTCTGACAAATGAGAGGATGGATGGATTCATCTCCAGCTAAGAATTCAAGATTCCCGGCATGCCACACGACACTTAGATGTTCTCTCTGAGGGCCAGGTATCTTCGGGGAAGACTCAGTTCTCATCTTCAACTGTTGAAACAGAGCCTTATCTCACTGTAGTCTACCTCCTTGGAGTACGCCCACCTCACCTTACCCTGTTAGGGGTGTTTGGCTTACTTCCTAGAATGTTCCATTCTCTCCTGCACCTGTAGGGGTCACCCCTGCCAGTGTGTTGTACCAGTTCCCTATTATTGCTATAACAAATCATGGTAATCTTGGTGTTTTATAGCAAAGCCCATTTAATTCCTTAAACTTTGGGGTGGGTCCTACACCAGCACCTTCTAACAGAGTGACCATCAATACCGGTGAATAGTGTGACTGAGAGGCTGGATTCAATTTTATTTTAGTTGCGTTTCATTGGAAGTTAAGTAGGTGCACTGGCTAGTGGCTAACATATTGGACAACACAAATCTAGACAAAGGAAATGAGAAGCCAACAGCCTCTCAGACCTGCTCTGAGTCTGTTTCTATGGAGTCAGGATCCTAGAAGCAGCTGTGGGTGAGACAAGGAAGGGAATTGTGTTTGTGGGCTCAGAGAATAGGGTCCGATTATACTTGCATCTGGAAGGCAATGCTGAAATGGTTTTCAAGGCCATTTCTCCTTGTCTATGTTACTCAGAGGGTCATCCCTTTGGGAACCACAGAAGTACGTCACTAGGAAAGATCCCCGATACAGGTGCTGACCTGGGGGTTGACATCAGCTGTCGTGCTGCTCTGCCACACACTGAGTAGTGGCCTTTGGCAAGTTATTGCTTTGTCTTTAGTCTACTTTCCACAAAATGAGAGTTAGACCGGATGACCTAAGGGTTCCCTTCCCTGCTTCAATACCCTGCGAGTCTATGAACTGTTGATCAGAACTGCTGTTTGTTTAATCCTACTTTTTCTATCTGTCCTATGTAAAGTGAGTTATGGCTGAGAATTATTAAGTAGTCATGGCTTAGGTTCATGGCATTTTTCAGCCAAACCATACACTTAGGTTTGTGGTTTAGATTACTGACCCCTGAGCTAATATGAACATCAAAAATTCTTGTTTTCCACAAGTGCACATAGTGGGGTTCAGAAAGGGAGATAAAACTTCTGGTGCTTTATACATTTCAATACAATACAGAAAGTTCTATTACCCAATTTTTCAAGTCAAAATCATGAGCTCTAGTAAGGTAAAGTCACTTTCCTGATGTCACAGTGATAATAAAGCAAAGAAGTCCCTTTCTGACTAAGGCCATCTAATAACCCTTAGGACCAAAATTGTCCTTCTGGATCATTCTTTCACAATGCTTACCAAGCAAATCAATAAAAACTCTTATCTTTGTGCTTCTGTTTCTTAATTCGTAAAACTGTAAGCACCATTCTCCACCTTCATACAGGTGTTAACACGCTCATTAGAAGCATCGAGAGAGTGTATTGAGCCCATGGAGCCAAGGGGACACGTTAAGGTCTCAGTATTTACTCATTCTCACTGCTTTTGCAAACGGGACTTTATCCCTAATAGCACCAGGCAGTTTCAACCCAAATGAAAATCATTGTAAAATCACAATCAATGTTTTAAAAAAAGATTTATTATGAAAATGTATGAAATCAATCACACAATCATATCCACAATAGCAGAGAAACAGAATAGGTGGACCATCTCCATGGGAGACACATGTCCTTCAACTAAATATAAATAGTAGAAATAACATCAACTAAAATAACAGTCTCTATGAAGATTTAAATTAAGAATTGGGACAGGAATTCTTAATGGAAGAGCAAGGAACTTCTCCACGGAAAGTGTCGGGGCTCAGGAGACCCTCCCTGACGTGGCTCCTCCTGAAGCTCAGTTCATCTCCAAGTCATTCATGTACTCGTTGACCCAGGGCAGGCTGGGGTCAGCACAGACTTGTTTGCCTTTTCTGGTCAGGAATCTGGAGAAGAAAGAGGACAGATGAGAATCCCATGGGACCTTAGAGGACATCTACCACTGTCCTTTGCCTGTGATAGGAAACTCATTCTGTTTGAGCATTGTTTCTATGGGCAACCACAGTAGATGGGATCCCTCCTGGATAACCTTGACCCGTCTAGACTTCCTGTAACTCTGAGCCCTGGGTGTGTAGCTGTGATCCCAGGGGTTCCCTATACTAGGAAATGATGGGTTTTATGATTAATATGACTAGGTCGTCCAATTTTTCATTGCTCCTTGAAATTACCTTTCTACGTATATAGTATGCATCGTTTTTATTGCTTCTGGTTTCATAGCCTCTTGATATTATCATCCTCCTCAAGAGTGTCCCCTTCCCCATTTTAATGACCGTCCAGCAATTTTCAGAACTCAAAAAGTGACATCATGACCTCGCTGTTCTCTGACACAGTTTCAACCCTTAGAACTGAATCCCTTCTGGTCGATAGTCCTTTCACCTGCATCTGGCCCTTTTTGAGTCTTGCCCTCACCCCAGTGTATACTTACACCACAGCTGGCTTGGAGCAGAGGCTGCTGGTCTCATAGTAGTCTATCACAAATTTGCGAGGGAGCTGCGAAGAGGTGTAAGAAAAGCAGCAGGAAGTGGGAGGGTCAGAGCCCACTGGAAGAGAAAGCAAGTGTAAGGTCAGACTTGTGCCTGGGGCTATCCATTCTAATCTTCACTGAGCATCCCTATCACTAGAGCTGGAAACATGGTGCCCTGAATGCGTAGCCATCCACCCAGAGTGGGAATTTTACTCTAAAAAGACTATCCTGGAAGAAGAGAAAAATTCTAGAAGATTGAAACTGGAGTGAGAATCAGACAACCTCCCATTTCCTTCATGTTACAGGTGGGGAAATCAAGGCAAAGAGACAGACAAACTTAAACCAGAGAGAAAGTCAATTCAATATGTGGTTTCCAGCCAACCATTTTCCCTATTGGCTGATAATTCTCTTTCTTTCTGTCTGTCTGTCTTTCTTTCTTTTAAATTTTTTTTTTCCACACAGGGTTTCTCTGTGGCTTTGGAACCTGTCCTGGGCTAGCTCTTGTAGACCCAGCTGACTTCGAACTCAAGGAGATTCACCCGCCTCTGCCTCCCTCCCACCCAAGTGCTGGGAATAAAGACATCTACAAACACCACATGCTCGACTGTTAAATCTTAAGGAAACAGGAGCTTGAGTAGTAATGTTTGGTAGTCTCTACGTTTAATGACAAACTCTGGAATCCTCCCAGCTCCCTTTTGTCCCCTGCCCAAAGCTTGCTGTTGGGCTGGCCCCAGCTGGAAAACTGAACCCACTGGGTCTCAAAGCAGCAATGGAAGAATCAACTTACTTGGTGCTGAGAACGCTGGAGTGCAGAAGGCAGCTACAAACAGGAGGAGAGAGAGGGTATATGCACAGAGCTTCATGGTGTTGCTGCAGGAGGAGTCTGTACAGAGCTGAGACTGCAGAGCCCAGAAGCTTCAGAAGCTGACTGAGTGTTGTGCTGCTCTGAGTTGGAAACCCCTCTTTATAGGGACTCTGGGGCTTGGGAGAGAGGTTGGGGGTGTAGGGAGGAAAATGGAATTTCCTGAATAAAGGTGATGTCATGGCATCAAGAAGGAAACTGAAGTTGGCCGAAAGTGAAGAGTTCCTCCCTGTTTGTCTTCTCCCAGCAGTGACATCACGGAAGAGAAAGGAGGGAGCTGGAGCAGAGAAGTGGGGTGCACGCTGGAGGGGGAAGTGGTACACCAAAGAGGGTGACTGAGAGGGGTGTGTGTGTGAGAGAGAACCCCAGAGGAAGGATGCAGTGTTCACACTTGCTAGCGAGGCAGAAAAATAAACAAGTTTGGAAAACCCAGATAAAGAATGTTCTAGTACACAAATAAGGATTGATACCTAGTGATGCGTATATCCTACCGACAGAATGTGTAGCCCACCTAAGCATACAGCCATTTTTTAGCCAGTCCCTAGGAAATGCCTCATGTTTGTAACCTTTGGGGACCTCTGTAGGAGATCCAGCCTACTAAGGCTGGGGGGGGGGGGGTCAGAATCAAAGTAGGGCAAATGAGGAAAACTGGACGAAGGATCCAGTCTTGTTCACCTTTGGCCCCATTACACCGACTCGCCTGCTTGCCCCAGTCCTCACAGTGCAGCAGGCTCCTCTCAGGAACAGAACATAATCAAATAAGGAGCCAGACCTCCTGGGTGTTTCCAAGTTAAAAGTTGGAAGGGGCAGAGCAGAATCCTGGGGTCCTATTGGTCATTTCACAAAGTACAAGCTTCTCCAACCTCACTGTTCCTCTTCTTACCTGTCTCTGCTGTTCTTTCTGTCCTCAGCCTTGTCACCTAAGTCCCTGGTCGTGTGTTCTGTGTTCACCGACAGCATAGAAGCTGGTCTTTCTCAGGACCGTTCAGGGTTGATGCAACTTCGTGTTCATACATCAAGGGTTTGGGTCTTGGCCTCTTGGTCTGCATGGACTTCATTTTTCATGGCATTTCAATTCAGGCGACATCCTCCTTGTCTGCTGTTTGTCAGGACAGAGACCCTGGAATACAGTCTCATTGTTTCCTCAAGAAGACCTAGCCTGTTGATGCACGGACAGTGACAGAAACAACCGTCCCCTGGGGTGGAAAATAAGGAGGGCAAGAGAGGTGGTAACAGGGCATCAGGGAGTCTGAGGATGAAGGCTACCATTCATGTAAAGATAGAGTGCTGAAGAAGGCTGAAACTCGTCAGGTTAAGGAGGAGCCTCCACCTACATTAGACAGCGTGTTCATGTCTGTTTCACTGAGGGGCTGCCAAGCCATCTGATCTGGGGCACAGGAGGATGGCAGATATGAATGGATGATTGGTCTATGGATCTCATTGTAAGCAGGGAATCCTCAGAGAAGGCAAAGACTATTCCAGAAGGTTAGAATTGAGTGTGCCTCAGACTTTATCACATTGCTTTCATATTGCAGAAACACCAGGGCATGTGGAGGACTCCCTTAAACCAGTGGTGTGGGGCAGAGCCCATCCATAGTCTGACTCTAAGTGGTCCTTTCTTCCAGTTGTTGCTAACTCTTAGAAAGTGGGTACTTGGGTATTATGACTATCTTCAGGGTACCAGAGGGCAGTAGGCTCTTGGGAGAGATCCAAAGTCCATGGAGAAAATGGGATATGTTCATGTGGATAACTTGGCTTCCCCTCCGAACAATGTGATGGTTAGGACTATTAGGGAGACCATTAAGCATTGGTGGCCAAAAGTGTGAGCATGCTTAGATCTAGGGTGTTCCTAGAGGGCAAATGCTGAGATGGGTGAGCATGGTGAGCTATGGCACGGAGTCATTTTGCAAAGATAGTAAACCAAGAATTGATATTGCCAGTGTGGTATCTATGTCACTTGGGGAAATGGGAGCAGACATTGAATTGTGGGTGGAGGAGAACATAGATGGTCACGTAGAGTGCAGGTTCAGAGCGGCATCTGTAGCCGAGGTACCAGCTGTAGTAGCCCATCAGCTACTGCCAGACCCTGGCTACCAGGCCTTAGTCCCCAGCCACAGCCTTCTCCTCGGCTGTCTAGAGTAGAGGGCAATGATTTGTAGGGTGTACAGTTCCTGAGAGAAGCTGCCAGTCTCTCCAGTTTGGGTGGACTCAGGAAACTCTCAGCCTTTCTTAGGAAGTCACTGCCTTTGATGCTTGTACATGTGTTTCTGCCCTCTTCCTATTCTCCTGAGACAAGACAACAGCCTGGTAAAGCTTTACAGAGCACCTACTATGTGTCAGGGGCTTTGTCAGTATTGAAGGACTGAGCACCTACTATGTGTCAGGGGCATTTTCAGTGTTGGAGGAGTGTGCACCTGCTATGTGACAGGTGCTGTGTTAGTGTTGGAGGACTGAGCACCTACTATGTGTCAGGGGAATTTTCAGTGTTGGAGGAGTGTGCACCTACTATGTGACAGGTGTTGTGTTAGTTTTGGAGGACTGAGCACCTACTATGTGTCAGGGGTCGTGTCAGTGTTGGATGATTGAGCACCTACTAAGTATCAGGTGCTTTTTCAGTGTTGGAGTTTCCTATTTTAAATGGATGAAGCACAATTAATAAAAACTCAGGGTCAGAAATTGTGGTTCATCCTGAAGATCTAAAAAGCAAAACAGCCAGCCACTAGCTCCTACCTCGCCCTCAGTCTGAAATGGTGATCCTGCCTCCAGGAATCTCAGAATGAGACCGAGACTAGAGCTATCTCCCCACTCCCCGTTTTATATTCCTCTCTAGGGCTGGGAATAAAGGCACACACCACTGGGAGTAAAGGCATAGTCCTCCTGATTTCTATGGCAACTAGAGTATCTATTGGGCTTAAAGGTGTGTGTTACCATAATCTGGTCTGTAAGGCTGACCAGTGGGACTGTTCTATTCGCAGATCTTCATGCAGTCTTTATTTATTAAAATATAATTGAAATACCACTGTAAATGGTGTTTGCGAAGTGTTGAGAGAGGCTTCCTAAAATGCAAGGCCTCGGAAGAGGGACTGCAAGAGTGCAAGAGGAGAAATGAGACATGCAGTTGGTGGGTGGGGAGGGGTTCGGTGGGAGGGTGGAGAGGGGTGCGGTGGAAGGGTAGGAAAGGGTGCTTACAGTGGGAGGGTGGGGAGTAGTGTAGTGGGAGGGTGGAGAGGGGTGCGGTGGGAGGTGTGGAGAGGTATGGTAAGGAGAAGGAGTGTGGTGCGAGGGTGGGGAGGGGTGTGGTGGGTGGGGGGGAGGGGTGTGGTGAGAAGGGGAGGAGTGTGGTGCGAGGGTGGGAAAGGGTGCTTACAGTGGGAGGGTGGGGAGCAGTGTGGTGGGAGGGTGGAGAGGGGTGTGATGGGAGGGTGGGGAGGGGTGTGGTGGGAAGAAGAGGAGGAGTGTGGTGCGAGGGTGGGGAGGGGTGTGGTGGGTGGGGGGAGGGGTGTGGTGAGAAGGGGAGGAGTGTGGTGCAAGGGTGGGAAAGGGTGTGTACAGTGGGAGGGTGGGGAGCAGTGTGGTGGGAGGGTGGAGAGGGGTGTGATGGGAGGTGTGGGGAGGTGTGGTAGGGAGAAGGAGTGCAGTGGGAGGGTGGGAAAAGGTGCAGTGGGATGGTGGGGAGGAGTGCGGAGGGAAGCTGTCTTGGCTGTTGTACCCCTGTGTGGCAATTATGACAGGCTGTACAAGATCTGCTCAAGGTCAAGCCAACAAAGCAGTCAGAATGTGAGCAGGCAGGCAGCAGTGGACTTAGTGGGTTCCAGAGAGAGGGAGAGGAGGTGGGGGAGGAAAGGAGAGAAGACTGGGAGGACAGAGGGGAAAACATGGAAGGAGAGAGAAGAGAGGAAGGGGAAAGGAGAGGGCATATTGAGGGATCACCATAGGTATAGGGGGGATTAGGGTGGATTACGGGTATATCCATGTATACATATGCCAAGTTGTCAAAGAAGAAATAAAAGATAAAAATGCAAAGTGTGAATTTTTAAAAGAAAAGTTGTTCTTCTTTTACCAAAAGTATGTATGGTGGTTGTAAAACTTTTAAAAACTTTAGGAAGACATGAACCTTAAAGTTCTTAAGATATAAGACGTAAGACTTAAAATTCTGTATCGTTATGTCCCTAGCTGTTAGCATTTATGTTCTTTCTCACACCAGCATGCCTGTCTTCCCATTGTTGGTTCATATTCTGCAGAGTTCCTGAAGACTGAGTCACTCCTGAAATAGAGTATTGATGAATATGTGGAATCCCATCATCGGAAGTCCTAACATTGTGTTTAATGCATTAATACACACGTAGGTCCATCCATTCGATTATTTTGAACCTTTCTCTAAATTGAGCTGAGAACTCCTAGCTAGCCAGAGAGTAGGTATTGGTTATTCAGGAAAAAAATGAGCTTCTATAAGTGAGCTGTATTTATTATGCCCTTGTCACAGTAGGGTAGGTAAGGACAATGTTAATATACTGTATATTTCAACAGAGTAAGGAGAAAGATCATGAATGTTTTCACCACCAAGAAATTACCCAATGGATATACAGACTTTGGTTTGGAATCATACAGTTATACACATTAAAGTACTATATGGTGCCTGTAAACATGTAAACGCTGTGTTTTACTAATTAATCTGTTAATATACTTAAAATTATTTTTAATTAAAAAGCTTGGGATTTACAAAAACCAAGTAAATGATAGTAATTGCAGTTAGCACTTAACACAGCTCTTCACCATGAGTCAGTACCAGCCTAAGTACTAACCTGTTCTGTTCTCCCAGTGGTACTTTGAAGTCAGTATCATTATTAGTTTTTGTCACACATGAAAGCACTGAGCACAGAAGGTGACTAACCTACAGAACACACAGCTGATACGCCACAAATTTGGAAATGAAACCAAGGAAGTCTGGCGCTAAGATAAGCAAGTCTGAGAAGGAAACTCAATTCTTTGCCAATTTCTGTTAAAAGCTTAACGGCCAAGTCTGGTCAGTGTGCTGCGGTCTCTCTG